GTACCATTGCTCTTCTGTTTCAGTGTGAGGTGTTATTTTTAAAACACATAATTTTCCTGATGGCTCAGGTACCTTGTTTCTCCTTGAATAACACACTTAACTTAAGCCAATGCCCTAATTTTCAGCACAAGTCCTTTACAACAGGACAACAACAAAATAATATTGTTATTTTACTAAGAGGTTTTTCAAGGCACAAAAAATGTGTTATCCCTTAGATATAAGTAAGGGACCATAGAGCTGTCATGGTCATCTGATACAGTAAGGTATTTGAAGTATTTATTTTACATATTTTAAAGATTAATCTCCTTTAATATATAGGGTTAAGGCTTAAACAATGTTAACTTTTATTGCTCTTCTAGCAGTGTTTCAGTGCATAGGGCATATCTGCATCTTCCTGCTCTGTTCTGTTCCTTAAACAAAAGTCTTAAGGAAAAAAAAACAAACACCTTGACTCATCAGAATAATCTTGTGACATCAGCAGGTTCTTCTAGCTCTGTTTTGCACATCTGATTATTTGATTGACGATGGTACTTACTAAGGATGATTTCAATATTCATCCTGACTAGTTGTGATTGCCCCATTGCTCCCACTCCTCAGGCAAGAAAGAGACCTAACTCAAAAACCTCTTCTGTTGAAAGAGGAGGGAGTTTTTCACCAACTTATTTGGGTTTATGGTCAAGTCCCAAGCATCTAATACTGGTCTAGTAGTGCCTTAGAAGCTTAATCTCTTTTATAGCACTGTAGTGCGGTAGTCYACAGAGAGAGGGAAAGGTCATTGGGGTACACGTCTTTGCATTGCACTGTTGCTGCAGCTGATAAATGTGAAGGAAGGGCAGTATGCAGATTACAGTTACACCTGATAAAGGCTGTGAGAATACACATGGGACATTACACATGCATCTTACCTTCCTCGTTTAAAACTCATGCCCGTATGTTATAGTGAAACCAAATACAATTCTGCCTAAGCTTCTCAGTTAATGGCTTCATTTGAAACATTTTTGGGGGCTGAAGTATCCTTCATAGACACTGTTTGCAGAGCTTAATAATAAGGTTTCTGAAATGGTGCTTTTACCCTTGTGTCGTGTCCTTGCTCCTCCTGGCTTTTGCTGTGGAAGCTTCTAACAACTCAGCTGCTCAGTATTTGTGGGTATGCAAACACACACCTGGCCTTGCTAATGACTACTCAGTGCCACTTAAATGCTGAGGGAGGGTGAGGGCTTTATTTACAAAGTAAAAACTGTTCCAGGTCAAAACACGGTAAGTTATCTCAATGAAGCCTTAATCAGAGAGACTCTTAAACATTGAAGGGCAGATTCAGAAAGCAATTTTAAGCATATTTTATATCCAAAATACTCTGCTTACTCACACAGACACTTGGGGTGCCAAACTGTATCCTCATGTTTGCTCTTCAAGGTCTTCAGGTATCTGTAGCTCTGCCTTGTGCTTCTGTCAGGACTTTGGGCAGGCTGGCTTGATGCCTACCTCCTGCTCAACTTTTGGGGGCAGAAGAGATTAGAAGTGAGCAGCATTAAGCCTGAATCTCCTCACAGGCTTCTCACTAATACCTAATATCTGGATTAGAAGTTTTCTGCTGTCTGTTGAGTCACGACCATACTGCTGGTGTGCCCTCAAGAAGAAGGGAAGCTAAGCCTCTGCAGGAAGGGTCCCTGATTGCTGTTTTAAGCTGTCTTGTATAAGGCTAAACTGAGCTGAGAGCACTTGGCATCATCCAGCTAAAGCAAGCAGTATGGACAAAAGTGCAAGGCCAAAAATTCTTACGGCCAAATTCATAGGGCCAAAAAAAGATATGTATAACGTGGTTGGGTTTTTTGSTTTTTAATTTTCTGGCTTGCACACTTCACTGGAAGGAGTGGAGTTCTGGGTTCTGTTTTTTGTTTCCAGGTTCATTTCAGAATGCTTTGCTTGATGTTTAATTTGTTTAATGAGGTGTTAGAATTTGAGACACCTAAAGTTGAGACACCTACAAGGTAGCATGGCATAGAGTAGTGTTGTAGCTAAAACTTTTAAATATTTCCAAAATTTGTCCTGAAAGATAACTTTAAACAAGATAAGGACAAAAACTTTCAGTTCATAATTCATTCAAAAGTAATATTTTTATTTGAATGCAAGAAAAGTGTTTTAAAAAAATCATATGTAGAAGAAACATTTTGCACAGTCAAGCCCATTTGGATTGATCACTTGCTGAAAAAACCCTTGGATAAGCTTACAGGAAACCTTAATCGGGTCCTAGCTAAAACAGCTAATTAATCTTGGAATAGATGTAGCATGAATATTTGTTAGAATGGACAAGGCACAGTTATTAATTATTAACAGTTAAGGCTGTAGGGCGGAAAGATACTCAGGGGAAAACCTTTCTGAAAATTTAAACTGAAATATGCAAACAGATATAGGAATGGCTATTTTCAGAAGTCCTAGCAACTATTAGGTGTTTATCTTCCACTGACAGTCAGCATTAGGCAATTAATTGCCATGTCATTGAAAATCTCCATGAATTATAAAATAATTGTTCAATTTTATAGAAGAAACAGCTTAATTGCCTACATGTTTGTAATTTTCCGCTATTAGAAAGTCACCACAGAAATGTGAGCTTCTAGAAACTGCCCATTGCTTTCCTGAAGTAGCAGGGAAAATCTAGACTGCTCAGTTGGTCTGTTTCTTTTCAGTCCATTTTTAACCCATGAAAGTTAGGTCCTTGTGAAACAACTGTTCGCTTCAAAATATCTTAGCTTAAATATGTCTTCTTGTGAAATATGTCTGCTTTGTGAAGGATCTGATCCACATTAGCATAGCCTGTTTTATAGGATGTTTGGGGATATTTTTGACTCCATTCATTTTAACCTTCTTTATGTGAATAATAAGGTCAATTGGATTAGTTGTTCTGGACAGTGTGCCCTTTTTTTGTTATTCATGTGGTGAATTATGATGAAGGTTTTATGTTTGAAAATTTGTTTTTTTGCCTCGGACTGTTTGTTAGAATAGCTGATTGGCTTTTTCAGATACTCATAAAATCTGACTTGATAGGGATGGTATTTTAGCCTGCCCTTTTAGAAAGAGGGGAAAATAATAATAATAATAATAATAATAAAGTATTGTACTTCTGTTAGATGAAAAATGTGGAAAAACACCTCAACAATCAGTTCTGCAGGAATAGTACAGTATTGCAAACTGTCCAAATTGCTGTTTGCTGCCTGGCTCCTCATCTAGGACTGTCTAGATCCTGGTGGAGAAAGAGTAAGTGTGAATATGACAGGAAGGAAAACTTGCATACCCATGTCTGCTGTCTGGGTTCCTATCTATTAATTCATTCTGGGTTTTATGGGGATGAAGTACTGCAAGCCAACATCTTTCTTTGATTACCTTACTATTTTATGAACATTTCCCTCCATTCCTTCACTGTTATTCAGAACAAAATATAAAAGTATTGCACTTCTGTGATCTGAAAAAGAGTCAGGCCTTCTGGGTGTTTCTGGTAAATTGGTAATGTAGACTTTTTTTTTTTTTTTTTTTCTTCTTTTTAAATCCTCAAACATCCTGTTCTTTGGTCTGAGTTATACTGGGGAGAAAAGGAAGAACAAATGTTTTATTGTTTGGTGAGTGTGGGGTGATTTTTTGTATGTGTGTTTTGGTTTGTTTGTTGACTGCCAGGGTTCCAAATAAGTCTCTCAGTGAWAAGCAAGCTTCAAACGGAAACATATGGCGTGTTTATCCCCAATATTGTCATTTAACATAGGCAAAAGTTTCTGAGCAGCCATGACACATCTGCAGATATTTGGAAATGTTCTTTYGAAGGTATTTGTTTTGCAAGAAGTTCTGTTCAAGAAGAATTCACAGTTAGAGATATATTTGACTGAATTATTGAGACACTATGATTTAAAAAATGGTAATTTTCTCCCATCTGTTAACAGTGTCTGGGAAATATCTTCCCCTTGCACTTCTCCATAGTAAAATTACTGTGTTTTGAGACAAAATTGTAGCTATTGTGAGAAGTATTAAATGTGGTTGTAAAAATTATAATCTTTTTTCCTTCCTTCCTTCCCTCCCTTCCTCTCTCCCTCTCTGCCTTTTTTGGAGTAGACTAGAAGATTCATTTAACCGGAGCTGAATAAAAAGGATTAAAAATGAACCCTTTGGTGCAAGGCCTTTCAATGTTGATTATGCTTATTAAACCTGAACAGTGTGCTTTTTACCAGATGCTTCTGCAGCACAAAACTCGTTTTAGTATAGAGATTCTTTTTGCTTACAAGAAGAAGTCCAATAGAAGTACTTCTGGCTCTAGTCAGAAGTGGCACTTGAATATCTGTATTTTCTTCTGTCAATCAAAATATCCTCATGGATGGTTCAGCTTGTTCATAGAGTTAGCAGGAGGTGTGCTAGGGTTCTTCACTGAAATATAAACCTAGTTTTTCTCCTGGAAGCATCTGAGTTTATCTGCTAGGAGGATTAAAACATCATTTTTTTCTTTCTATTGCAATTCATTTCCTAAAGACTTAAAAACTGACTGGTAGCATTCTGTACCTGTCTATTGTGCTTATGGAAAAGTCTGCCCTTCTCTTTCAGGTTCTCAGTTCTTAGAAAGGTTCTGAGAGCCCTGTTTGAGAGTATAGTAAATATATATGCATTAGTGAGAAAGATTGTACAAGCATTACTGAGCAGAGAGGATAAAAGTTTCTGAATACTTACTGCAATATGATGAATCTTCTGGAAAAAGTGACTGAGGGTTCAAGACTGAAGTGTCTGCTTCAAGCTAATGAGAGGAGCCTGTGTGCTTCAGCATTTGTGTTGCTGTAATAGTGGTTATATGAGTTATGTGTATACAGTGCACTTTGAGTGATATAGTATTACAGGATGGAGTTGCTTTTTTCAATTTGTGTGAACCCATTTAAAACCAAAATATTTCTTTTTATTTCTGGTTCCATGTAGGTATTCAGGTATGTTGCCTGCAATGTGTTAACCTCCGATTATCTCTTCTTCCTTTCTAGCACTGGCTTGAGCCCAACAAGTCCATCTTCAAGCAAATGAAATGTAAGTGTTCACAGCTCATGTCTTTAATCAGGTACCTGGTTTTAAAATGGCTGAAGGTTTTCTCTGCTCCTCTTCACTGGTTCAGAATGTGCTTAATTTGTTTCTTGCTGCGAAGAGGCCTGTCATGCCCTTTTGTGAGCCCTGCAAAATCCATGCTACTTTCATTTCATTGTCATTTCATTGCTCTGCACATCAAGAGCCGCCTTGGGGCTCAAGGCTAGAGCCAGAGGCCAGCTGGGGTGTGGAGTGACGTGTCTGATAAGACCAATGTGCTCTGGCCCATTTTTTAGTTGCATGTAATCAGCCATGAATAGACTGCAGTAAAATAAGGAGTCAGTCAGGGGTGTTGTTTCCCCTCCTCAGTCCCCACAACCTTCCGGCAATGCAGAATATTAGTTCTAGATCACAGTTACAGCCAAGTAATTTCAGAGCTGGTCTAAGTGCTGAGTTTCTACCACAGATTAGCAGAAAAATACCATAATTGAAAAAAAAAACACCTCCAAACGTTTACATTGTGTTTTTGAAATSTAAGATAGTGTTATGTCTGGCATATCCTTTTCATTAACTTGGCGAGCTGTGAAGACTGATTCAAAAACAAAACTACCTTGATGCTCAGAAGTTAACATTCAGCCAGTGAAGAGAGCTTTCATTTGGCAGTCCCTGAAGACTTGAATTAGGTCACTGAGAGTTGCTTCTTGTTTTATTAAAAGCTGTTGTCAGCCTGCTTATTTTGTGACATGAAGGAAGTTTTTCACCCACAGGCCTCTTTATATGCACTTGTTTTCCTTTTTTTAAGCTTGAGTATAAGCTGTGTGGTAGGTAGTATATTTGTTATTTTAAAATGTGATAAGTTGAAAGAAATTAGCTAATGAGCAAAACCAATTCTGGTTATTGGGTGGACTACATTGAATGCTTGAAGAATTTTTTCCGTTAATGATGCAATACTACATGCTGCAGGATGTATTTACATGCAAACATATGCTTGCATGCATATATTTAGCATGTCAGGTAAGGACAGTTACAYTTAGTATCTAGCTAGCTGGAGCATCCTCCAGTTAAAATAAGCCAGATCAATAATATTCCGGCTAAAGCTAAATAATTCATCTGCAGTGCTAATGAAAGAAAAAATAAGGACTTATAATTTCAAATTATTTTACATCAAAAATAAAAAACTGTCTCCTCAAAGTATCCTATAAACTGCATGTACAGCATTGCTTTCCCTTAGTGAAGCATGAGACCTTGTGCTTCTTGTTGCACTTTGCATAGCAACATATTCAGAAACTCTGCCAACAGATGCTATGAGAGTAYTTTTATTTATTTAAAATGACTTTACCTGCAAACAGATGTTGCCAAATGTGATCTGTGCTAGCTACTCCCTAAATTACATAGATGTTGTGAGGTGATCCTCTGAGGACCTGTGTGCTTCTGTTGTAGAATCCCAGTGGGAACTCCGAATGCTGTCAGATTCATTTAAAAAAAAAACCTACTATGAGTTTACTTACTACTGTGAAAAGTGATAGATGCCMCCTTCCTCCTTCCATCCCCTGAATAAAATTAGAGGCCAACAGAGAAGTTTTGTTAGCATGCTTAGGTGTAGGATACAGGAAGAGTTAAATATGTGGTTGGTTGGTTTAGTTTTTCATAAGCAAATTCAGATTAATACCATTGTAGCTTGACTTTGCTTTTTGTTACAGATGCAGAACTGAAGTCCTTAACCCTTTAAACAGAACAAAACMAGGATATTGCATATAACACCTATGTAGATTATGAATATATCCTTCACTGGTTTCAAAGACATACTCTTCTGAAAGCATTTCATACCAGAAACTTCTCGCTTTATTTTTCTAAAATGTCCTGCATTCCAGTCCTGCATTAATATGATAATTTCTAAGCAGTTTCTAAAATAAGTGTCAGAGTAATTTTTAAGTAAACTGTAAAGGTTCATAAGGTTAATTTGCATTTTGTCAACAAATACACAGTTTASTATTGAAAGGTTCTAACTCAGAATTCAGACTGGTTTATAAATGGCCAATACTCATGCAAAAAGCATCACAATCTCAGGTGACCCAGACAAGGATTTAAATTCATGGTAAGTGGAAGGTGTGAAGACAAAAGCAATGAACTGACAGGTAAATAGAACATTTATTATGTGTATCTGATTTCTGGGAGACAAGGTGACAGGATGTTGATCACGGTGTATTAGGTGGAGGGTTTGTTTTCTTTCTTCACTTGTAATGAATTCAGTGAACAGTCAATTGATCTGTTTTGCCAGAATGGACATTTATCTTCTCACGTACAAGAGCAGACTGCAGTTAATATTAATTATATTAAATGTTCTAAATTCTGTTGACCAGTGGGATTAAGATGGGATTATGAAGCATTTAGATATATGAAGCAAAAAATAGAGAWGTGCTGTCTTCTTGATACCAGCTGGCAAATGCGGGGCATTTAACTTTCCAGCAGCATGGTAACAACCTTTTCAGTGTGCTTACTCGCAGGGCACRTTATTGTGGAGCATTCGGAGTGGAAGAAGAAGGCTAAGAGTAGTGGTCTACCATAGATTTCAGTAGGTGATAGATCTCATGGAAGTCTGTAATACCTGGATGATTCAGACATCCTTTTCAGACGCTATTTTTTCAGTGTCTTGCTTTTCCAAGAGAGTAATGCAAACAGAATACTCTCCTGTATCAGGCCACTGTGGTATGTTAAAGACTCTAATGCTGCTGAGAAACATAAAAAGAGATTGAGTGAACCATTGATTGAATGCGCCAAATGGAGGTGTAGAGGTAAGAGTTGTTCAAAATTCCTAACAGAATGTCAGAATATTTAATCTCAACAAACTTGTCATAGATTTTGCTGTTGTAGTACAATTTTTTTTTAAAAAAAGGGGTGACCAAGCAGAGCATTTGTAAATCCCTGCACAATGAAAACAAGAAGTTTCATATGTTCCCAAGGGGGCTAAGCKGAGTATCTTTTATTCTTCTTCCATAAACACTTAATAAAACACCAAGGCACTTGGATTTGTTATGTTAACTATTTGAGAAAAATCACCCCTGCCTTGTGTGGTACCAAAACTGTTTTTAAGTACAGTGAGGAAGATCTCACAATTTAAGGTTTATGGTAGATCATTTATTTCTTATACAGAAATAAAAGCACTAGTTAGTATTATGTTTACCTTGAATGCTTGAAGCAAGCAGCTTAGATAAACAGCTCACTTACCTGCTAAAGGAAAAGGGATACAGAAACTGTAGCATATGTTGTAGCAGGATCCCTAAATATCTTTTGGCTGCTTCAGTGAATTTAAAGAATATTTGGATGCCTTTTTTTTTTTTTTTTTTAAATGCACGCTTATTTTTAGTAGGATAATGTAATTCAGAGGATATATAATATCGAGGAAAGATACAGGAAGTTTTCTGACATAGTGCAAKCTCAAGATTATTTACATAAGTTACATATCTGCTTTTAGCTTTCAGTATCTCTCTGTAAAAAGTGTGTATGAGTTGCAGATGAGAATCTTCCACCCTTCTCCCTCTTCGGTTCATATAGCTAGAACGTCAATCAAGTTTTTTCACTTTTTTTTTTGTTTTTTTTGAAACTTTTCTTATTTTATGTACATAGCACTTGCTTGGAGTTGTCTTTCTGTGAACAATTTTTTTAATTGAAAAATTGATTGTTTGAATGTGTAGTTTCAGTTAGGGTTCTCATTCCCTGTAAGCCTTCAAATGCAAAGAAAACTTTAATAATTGAGGTTATCTAGCTTAAAAACAGGAGTATGTGRGGCTTATTCCTGTACACCTTCGTTAGTATCTGTGCCAAGGGATGAAATTTGCAAAGCCTCCCTGTTAGAGCCTGGACATTAGAGGTGTAATTGGACTAACAGGACAGCTTATCTTAGCTAACAGCAACTGAAATAAATCTTTAAAAAATACAATCAGTTGCCTGGAAATCCCCTAGACTGTGGTTATAGCTGTTTCCTGAGGGACTAGGTGACGTTTGCTGCAGTCTATGGTTTCAGCACGTGGTATCATTCAAGTAGGTTTTATTCTTTTGTCTCCATCTCTTATGCGCTGTTAGCACATAAACTGACAAATTAATAGCCCTGTTGTAATAGAGTTCCAGACAGCACTATTCCCTGCATTAAAATGCCTTGAAATGATGGTAATTGTGAATCTTTTTTGGTAAGAGGGCAAGCTTGTGATGGTAGGAAATTCTGACAAAGCCTTGGGCACTTCACCAGCTGCTCCATATCTGACAGAGAGAGGACCTCTCGGAAAGAAAAGGCCTATAGCTATTTTAAACTACTCATTGTATTCAAATGAGTTTGGAGCTGAAGGATCAGTCTTTTGAAAAACATGCCCTGTTTTGGGGTTATTTTTTGTTGTTTGTGTTTTCACCTTAGTGTGGGAGTAAGCAGTAGAAACCTCATTTCATGGAACTGGAGGATTCTCTGATTTCACAGTCTCATCCCCTGGGCTCTTACAATTCATTGCCTGTCTTGCTTTCCATCACAAGAATATAGGGACTAAAAGAATATGAGGTTTTCTGGTATGTTTCTCCAGTGCTGTAAAACCCATGAGACAAGGACCTTAAATACTTGCATATAGTCATTACATATAGATGGGGGGAACAGGGAGATGAGTTTTATACTGATTTTTAAATTAAAATTGAGAGGAAAATGGATAGTTGTGTGGGCTTCCTCACTCCTTTGCATTTCAAATGACCATTCTTTATGTCTTTTTTATTCTCCTAGTAGGAGAAAAAGAAACGGAAAAGACAATTGTCTATTCTGTTTTGTAAATGAATCTATTAGTAAAAGAGGACCTTGTTATCATAGACATGGAGACGAATTGCATAGATGAGATCACGTTCTTTTTAATGTGTCAAATTACAGGTCAGAATAGTGACAACCTTGCAGGTGTTACTAAGAAAGGACGTATATTTCGCAGGCTGCTGCAGCCTTGTTTTGTATTCCTTGCTGCAGTTAYGAGAATATATAATGCTGCAGACCTTGAGTCCAGGGAAATGTTTGCTGAGCAGCTCCTTGTTATTTTACTGAACCCTCTGGATTCTGCGTATTCTGTGTGTTGGTATACYGCTACCATCACATACTGCCCTTTGGCTTGCACTTTTATTAACCTTCTCTATTAATGTGGGCTATTCTTTATTGCAGTTTATGTTATCCTTTCTGGTGCATACACCACCTTCTAATGATGAAATTTTTGTATGGGACAGCAACTCTTAAACCYTCTCTCTTTCTTTCTTACTTTCTTTCCTCTGCTTTTGTTTTTCTGTCCGTCTGCCTTTCTGTCTGTCTTCATTGTGATATGGAAATACTATGGGCCAAAACCAAAGTGTCAGTCATTCAATTGACATCAAAAGATCAGGCCATTCATAGGCTCTTGCAGAGCCAGGTACTAACTGTTCTTATTACTATGTTTTTGCTTAAAGCACAAACTAGTAAATCTTCCTGGAGAGGTTTTTCTTTAACTTTGTTTAATCAGTCACTCTCTCTAAGAAAGAGCTTTAATAAAAGTTGGCTCTTCTATCAGGTTTGGTCCACAGAGCCATATGCTGAAAGTGAAGGGATTTTTCCCTTGCTTAGTTTTTAGAAGGTTGTTAAGAAGAGACAGTGACGTTTCAAATGACTTGCATTATTCTCTGCTTTGTCCAGGCAGCAGGACTTTTCAGGGTAGCTCTCAATGGTTATTTTGCCTGGTTGTTTTCTGGTACGTTGAATCCCGTGTACCTTTTAGTTTGCCYGGATGGAGCACCTGAAGGACATAACAATTTTCTCTGTTTTGCAACATACTTCCAGTCACTTTCAGAAAATGCTGTGATTGCATCTAAGAGGCCAAAGTAGTCTGATTTCCTCTAATGCTCCAAACCAGTGTCCTCCTTCAGATCGGATTTGCCTGAATGTTCACACCATGGCTTGACAACACTTTAGATTTAGTTCTTTTTCTTTCTCCATTCCTACCTCTTTGCTTTTCTTTATTATTATTCCTTTCTTATTCCTGTATTTCTTTCTGTGTTTGTGTTTTTCGTATCTCCTTCCCCTTCTCTTCTGACATGTCTCTCTGTTTCTGAAATGAGTAGCTATRTAAATGAGGAAAAACTAAAAAATCTTTTTTTTTCTATTGAGGCTGGGCATATTAAAATTAAGTGAAGCAAGAGGGGAAAAATGCAATGCATTTTTGTTTTTTGTTGCTATTCTACTTCACATGGATTTATGTGATATTCAGTATATGTATTTGAGGAAAGCAACAGGAGATAAATGCTGCAGTCAAAATAGCTTTAAGAATTTCACAACTGTCRTTCACAAAGTATTTTCTGTATGCAATTCAAACAAACCAATGACTGATAAAATGCTATAGTAAAATAGTYTAGTAGTTTAATAATTGCTGTTGTAGACTACATTCTCTTAAATGTAATTTTCTGTTCCAAATATTTCTTTCCTATATTGGCTGCAGTAACTTACTTTTGCCCTTCTCTCCTGATTTTTCTTTTTCCTCTCCCTAAGTACTCCATGTCTTTAAGATGCAGAAAAGCTAGACTGAATGTGTGCCAGCTGCATTAAAGCAAAGGATTTTTAAAACTAAACAGAGTATTAAAGAACTATGCATTACTATGACTCATGTTGAAATAACGTGTCTATAACTGTCCTATACTAATGRGAATGTCCATTGAAAGTTAATTTCATAAGTTACCTAAAATATTTCCCTAGAAGGATTTTAATTCTGTATTCACGTCTGTAAAATGCTGCCTGAAATTAGCACAATGCTTTCAAGCTCCAGTTTTGCACAGTCTCTACTTTTCCTCTTTCAGTCTATCTGATTCAGGTAAATCACAAAATCGCAGAATGGTTGTGGTTGGAAGGGACCTCTAGAAATCACCTAGTCTGGCCCCCTGCTCCAGCAGGGACACCCAGAGCAYGGGGCACAGGGCGGCATCCAGGCGGGTTGGGAAGATCTCCAGAGAAGGAGACTCCACAACCTCCCTGGGCAGCCTGTGCCAGGGCTCTGTCACCCTCACAGGAAAGAAGTTTTTCCTCACATGGAGATGGAACTGCCTGTGTTTCAAATTGTACCCATTACTCCTTGTCCTGTCACTGGCCACCAATGAGAAGAGCTTGGCCCCTTCCTCCTTACATTCTCCCTTCATCTACTTACACATATTAATCAGATCCCCTCTCAACTTTCTCCAGGGTAAACAGGCCCAGCTCACTCAGTCTCTCCTCATACGAGAGATGYTCCAGTCCCTTAATCACCTTTGTCGCTCTCCACTGGACCCTCTCTCGAAGCTCCACATCCCTSTTGTCCTGGGGAGCCCAGAACTGCCCCCAATGCTCCAGGTGCGGCCTCACCAGAGCTGAGCAGAGGGGCAGGATCTCCTCCCTCCCCCTGCTGCCAACATCCTCCTCATGCAGCCAGGATCCCATTGGCCTTCTTGGCCACGAGGGCACTGCTGCCTAGTGGGTAACTTGGTGTCCACCAAGACTCCCAGGTCCGTCTCCGTGGAGGTGATTTCCAGCAGGTTGACCCCTAATCTGTACYGGTGCCTGGGTTTATTCTTCCCCAGGGGCAGGACCCTGCAYTTGTCCTTATTGAACCTCATGARGTTCCTCTCTGCCCAACTCTGCAGCCTGTCCAGGTCCCTCTGGATGGCAGCACAGCCCTCCGGAGTGTYGGCCACTCCACCCAGCTTGGTGTCATCTGCAAACTTGCTCAGGGTGCCCTCAGTGCCCTCGTCCAGGTCATTGATGAACAGGCTGAACAGCACTGGGCCCAGCACTGACCCCTGGGGGACACCACTGGCCACAGGCCTCCAACTGGACTCAGCCCCATTTATCACCACCCTCTGAGCTCTGCCATCCAGCCAGTTCTTGATCCACCTCCCTGTGCACTCATCTAGACCACACTTCCAGAGCTTTCCTATGAGGATATCATGGKAAACAGTAGTCAAAAGCCTTGCTGAAACTTTGGTACTAAGGCCTCTCACGCTAGTTTCTGTGCGGATGCCTCATTTGCTTTGCTAGAAATTTTGCCTTTGCTCTTGCTCCATCCCAACTCTGGTTATCAGGAGACCTGGTAGTTAGGTTTCTAACTGGAACTCCAACCATGAAAGGCATCAGGGAACAGGTAGCCCTGAGAGCTTTGCCTACCCCCACATCTGGCCTGATTTTGAAGTTTTCTGTAAGGTTTTCACACTTGGTTTATCCTAAGGCAATTATCACCAGATAGTTCTTTGATTTGCTGTCATCTTTGCTGTAAYGATTGAAAGATTGTGTCCTAGGATCAGGTAGTGTCTTGAATGCAGTGAAAGACACAATAATGGGTTATAAAACTGTATGCATTGACACAGAATTGAGACACACCTATCTATTGCAGAAGTGAAATCATTGTTATTTTCATTTTTTTTTTTAAGAGAAGTGAAATTATTCTACGTAGTTAAGACTCAGTATTGCTACCTTTGTTTGGGAACAGATAACATATTTAAGCAAGTGTCAGAAACTGAAACAGTTCTGTTGTGCTCTGGTTGCATTAGTCAAATTTAAAGAATGGTTTGTTTCATCTGTAGTCAAGGCATTATCACTAGCAGGAATAACAGTTACGTGTAATACTTCCTACATCACAACGAYGAGATGCAACTCTTTCCTCTTTTTCAATTAGAACAACAGAAAAAAAGCTGCAAAACCAAAAAGAAACTCAGTATTTTGTATCCCTTGGATCAAGCAATAAAACCTGTGAGGTGCAAAGCTGTGTACAAATTGATTTGCCAAGTTCATCTGTATTTTGCATGTGCTGTGATTCCTTTGTTATGTGTTTTATTTACATATATATATACACATATATAAAAACATATTTTGGTTTTATTGAATTCACTGCCCTATGCTTAATCATCATTCCAGCTGCTTTGCAAGACCTTCAGAGGCCACTTTTCAGAGTGCCTGARGCAATGTTGTTTGCTATTGTTCTCATGTTTTTCTTTATGATGTTTCAGCTCATCCACCATACACCATGTGCTTTAGAGTGAAATTCTACCCACATGAACCCTTGAAGATTAAAGAAGAGCTCACCAGGTATTTTTTTTCATCTATTCATTTAATGTACATTGGTAACAAGTCCAAAATAAGACAAACATTTGCACAGGATATAGTTTCCAGTATTCATTATAAGTGAATTTGTTCTTTTTATGCTTAATGTGATACCTATGGTGTTTTAATATATTTTAAAGATAACATTCAAAGATGTGTTGCTGCTGGGGTACTTTTGAAAAGAGATGTGTCAAAAGATTGGGAAAGGATTGTCCTAACTTCCTCTGACAAGTATTTTGGCTTTTTGGACACTTGGTCTCAGATGTCTTAGGGTTTTTTTCCATTGTAAAATAAAACTATGAAGTTGAATTCAGTAATGGCCCTACCTCAATAAAAAGGAACATGAATAACCTCACTGAATTTGCCCTTGGTCATGTGTCTTGAGGACCAGGGTAAGCATGAGTTGACTTCCTCTAGAAAACTAAGGTAAAGGTCCAATGTAATGATAGTGCAAAAATATAGCTACATTAGAGATTAAGGAATCATACTGCTTACCTGATAATCATCCAGAAAATGCTTTGAACATACAACAGATGAGCCATGCTTAATAGATGGAGATGGAAGTTTTGTACTATATAGCAGCCATTGCGAATGCTTCGTTGCTCTGGGTATTTCAAGAAATGTACTGGGGAAAAAATGTTGGAAGGTACAGCCTCTTTGACCTCTGCAGCAGCCATGCTGTGTGTTTGCCTTTCCACATCGCTCGTCAGCAGGTTGTGTTGCTGACTAATACTTGCACATCGCAGAAGCTGAGCGCTTGAGCTCTTTATTTACACTTCCCCAAGCTCTGCAAATTCCTAACGTTTGTTCCTGAGTCACGTTGTGAATGGGAGAGGTCCCATTATCACTTGTCTCATATTGTAAGTTTCAGGAACAGTTTGTATTCTGCTAAATAGTGAACATTGTGTTTGTATTACGGCTGTTTGCCTTGGGTAAAATATTAAAACTGCTTAGCCGAGTGAACAGATTGTAACCCAGGCAGTCAAAGGATTTTCATTATTTGTTAGTAATTTTCCTTGGATAAACATTTTGGATATATTGAGCTTGGTACGGATTTTCCCCATTCAAGTATTTTGTTGTTGTTGTTTTTTTGTTTGTGTGTTTGTTTGTAGTTGTTGTCGTTCTGGTTTGTCTTATTTTTCTAAGAACATATTAAGCCTCCCAGGAGAACTTTTGACCACATACAAACCACCCAGTATCAACTCCTATTTTGCCATCACTATGCTTTAAGCTTTCCTGGAACATTTCAAATTAGTTCTCAAGTCAAGCTGCTACTTGAAAAATATTTTATGTTTCTCTATTTAAAGTAGCACTCTTAAGATAATCGGAAATAAAGAAGAAATAGAAATACAGTATATGAAGTGCTTCTGAAGTGGAAAAGTGAAATGCTGAGTTGTATAGATTGTCTCTGAGAATTTGTTTCGCCATATATTAGAGGGTCAAACTTCAGGGGACATTCTTAATTGTCTTAAATTATATTTTTTCTTGGATTACAATGGTTATTGAAATTAAAGAAGAAAAATGTTAGTTAGTATTTAGACAAGGGCAGTCCTGAAATCTTGACATCCGGTAGTTGGGGTCTTTTTAGTTATTTGTTTATTTGTATTTATTTGTATATTTTTAGATTCTGCTGTATTGCTGGACAGTCCCATTTGTTGCAGTACCTGTGTAAGTTTGAAAAGAATAATGTTAAGTCATACTTCTAATTAAAAGCCCCCTGTACTTCCTGCCTTCATTGCACATACTTCTGGAATGTGCCTTCAACTAAATCACAGTAACTCAAATTCTGATAGTGACTATGTCTAGACATGTCACAGTGTTGCTCCTACTGGGCAGATACCTAGGGGGTGTCTGTAGCCTCCACTGTGATAATGAAATAGAGATATAMTGAGCCTTGTCCTGTCACATTGTCCTACTGCTATTTGGTCAGAATATTAATTAACCCAGTCTATAAATTCCCCCATATGGATTATTGTTAACACAGAATCTGAAAGCTTCATAGGAATAAATCATGAACAAAGTTCCTTAGGGACTTCAGTGATACACRGAAAGAGAAGTTATCTTCCTCTCCCATCAATATCTGTTTGAAAGTAAATCACACATTGAATTTTTTGAAGCTGTGAGGAGGAAAAATGTTTTAATTTCTTGAAAAATAAAATAGAGAGGAATAGTATTCTGTGTTTAGATATTTTTAAGAGGAGACTTGAGCATTTGTCTCCTCAAATTACTGCTTATTCAATTCCATCCTACCTTTGGTAAAGTGGAATTCTTGAGTTAGGCTGTTGTAATTCTTGAGTTAGGCTGTTGTTTTATGGTTGGAATTGTTTGGGGAAAATTAAGATAGAAAATAATATAGCTGAAGCCATTCTTGGCTATAGTGTTACTGGAAAAAAACCATAATCTAAACATTTATGCACACCACAAGTTCAGAGGTTCTGTATCAGGAATCCCTTGGGCAAATGACTGACTAAGCTACTCACTTTCCTGTCATTGCATTTAGTTCCACTGTTTGGGAAATCTGTGAATACTGTCTCTTGTATCATATCATGTTCTAATGATTTGCTTTCATCTTCCCTCTTTTTAATTAATACTGGTTTCTTCAGTTATGCTTTTGAAATAAAATCTATGCCTGCCTCCGGATATTGGTGATTTTGAGATCTTATTTCCTACCTAGAAAATCCTATGTAGGATAAAATTCTAGTGTATCCCTACAGGTGAAGGCTTTTTGTGTATGGTCCTTGCACACTGTATATCTAGATTTTTGCTAATGTTAAAGTTCAGATTGACAGTATAAGTATTTTGGCCAAGTAAACTGTTACTTTGAGCTCACTTGTTCGTGTAATAGCAGTTTGTGTGAATTCCTTCATGTCAAAAATCCCCAAATCTTGCAGCACTTCAATGTGCAGGAGATGAATTTTCCATCTCTTTAACTTGTGACAACATAGATTTAGAARATCGGCTCTTATTTTTAGAAAGGGTTCTTTCTCAGATGGGCATTTTGGCCATATGTGTTTGAAATCAATTTGAGGAAGACTGAAGGCATTCTTTAGTAAATACACACTAAATCTTTATAAAGAATTTTGTAATGAGAAAATGGCCAGGATACAACTTATTCAGATGAACAGACCTCTCAATTTATTTCAGATGCTCTGGAGATCCTGCAGATTTTAATGCAAACAATGAATGTAGGTTTTTTRTTTTGTTTTGTTTTGAATAGCTTGTTGGTCATTTATGCTGAGAATGGTGCTGAACATTAGTGAYAGTGTTTTTCTATACCATGGGCACCTCAGAGAGTGACTTGTGTTTTGTATGAAGTAACAGGAAGGCATCAGGCTTTTGTGATTTGTATATCTGTGGTGTTCTAGATCAGATAATCTGGCAGTTTTACAGACTATGTGAAGTTAGGACAAAGAACTACTCTTTTGGACAGCAGCATTTATCTGGCTTCACTGAGCATCCCTCCTGAGAGTAATAACTACTAGTTTTTAATTAGGCAATGGCCAGCATAATAAGCAGGTCCTTACATCTCCCTTGTTCCCTGCCATGCATACTTGTAAAACATAATTTCAGTTTCTGTTTTGCGTTAAATCTAACATCTGCTCTCCAACCTGTTTTCCGAATGACTCTCCGCAGATTTTTGGTAGAGGTTTTGAAATACATACATGTGCAGTATTGCTGCTAATTTCCTTTGCCTTTCATCTTAGTGCATTCCATTTGCTTTTCCACGGATCATGACACATTCTGAAGGGAGAGCAGTTTCTTTTTAGCCATGGGCATGGAAATTCGATAAAAAAAWGATGGATATTCCAGAGTTTTCTGTAATGACCCAGCTTATTCTGCTTACATGCAAACACATAAGATCACCATGAAGGAGGCTGTAGAAGCAGTAATGACCTGATCTGCTGTGCACTCACATCCCAGTCCGAAGACTGGTCATATTTAGCCAAAGAATTTTTCTGTTATGTTATTTCTCTTCAGTGCTGTTTTTATGTAATTTGTCAGTGTATTCTTTCTTCAGAAATAATATAGCAAAATGCTTTATGCCTTCTTATGTCCATATCCCTACATCCTGCAGTATATGTATAATTAAAATGAGTGTATCTAATGTCATTTGAGGTCCCAAAGGGACATTCTGAAGTGCTTTAGATAATACTGAATCAGCAGTAATCCGTGATTACTGAAGAGAAAACTGAGCCCCTGAGAAGCATGGCTAAGTGGCTGAAGATATTAACCAAAGATGGATTATTCCAACTAGCCTTCATCTTGCACTTTTTTTCCTAATCCATATGTTAGAAGAAGATCTTGAATCACTGGGCTATTGTAAAACAATGTAGTAAGTATTTTGCTATCAGAAAAGTACTTAAATAATGCCTAACGTGAAATCATATAAGATTGCAAAGATTTAAGGTGTGTAAACTCAGCACAAAACAGCTCTGAGCTAGCTAGCTTGGGTGAGGGAGGATAGTACAGCTACATCCATGTGCTGTTTGATGAGACCTATCTCAGCCAGCAGTACCTGCTGCTTTCTTGTACTGTAAGATTCTGGTGTTCTTCCCTCTGGAAGCGAGTGGGGCAACCAKTTGAGGCAGGAAGTGCCCTTTTTGGTTGCTACCCTTGAATACCAAATGATTTGTTGGCAAACTTAAGTGAAGATTTAAGGTTGGCTATATTTTAGCCAACATGTCAGCTTCATTTTAAAAATGTTGTTTATCGTGTAAAGTTTAAAGCTCTGTTATCCTTTCCATAGGAACAGTTTTATTAATGGTTCACAAACCCCTGAGCTTTACAATGTCACCTAATATCCAAAATAAACTTGCAGTTTTCCTAGTAGCTGTCATTTGTCTTCTTCATTCATTTATTGCATCTAAAATACGTATTGCATATTTTCTTTTCTCTTCTGTAACCAGTGCCATCAAGCAGTAACGCTTATTGCCCTGTTTCTCATGTCCAGTCCAAAGTAAGACCATTCACTGTGAGGGAGGTACTGAGCTACTCTGAAGCCAGGAGGACAAGTATTGCTTCAGCTAATTGTCAGTCTCTCACAGAAGTGAGAGCTTTGAGACTGGATAATGAACATTTGAGTGACCTTCCCACCTCCACTGCTGAGCGTGGCAAATAGACTGTTTCTTTCTGGAGGATTTTTTTTTCAATGATGCTGTGGTTCAGATCTTTTCTGATGCATTTGACTAACTAGGATGGACTGTGGTTCAGGCTGCAGTTACAGGATGAGGCTGCCATCACTCTGATTCCTTGAGTTATAACTTCTTTTCACAGACTGCATATGAAGGGAAGTTTTCTTACTGGTGCTTGTTAACAAAACAGTCTTGCCCTTGCTCAAATAAGCTAACAAAGCAGTTCCTGCTATTGTAAGGAGGCAGATTTCAGGTGTCCCATGAAGAGCTTTAAAAAGCCACACTGGTTTTGCTTGAGGTTTGGGAGGGAGCAGTAGAAAAGCAAAGCATTACAGCTTTGGCTAAAGTGCAGTCTTTATTCTGCATTCCTCTGAAGCAGTTGTTCTGGACAGGACCCTTGCCATCAAATCACTAATAGAGCTGTAGCAATATAGAAAATTTTATGTCAGGCATGATTCTCCATTTTACCAAACTTACACCTTTAATTAGAAGGTCTCTTCTGCTTTTTTTGGGGGATCTAGATACCTGTGAATGGGTCATAAAGTTATCCTTCCTTTTCAGGTAATAAAAATAGTTATTGTGTTTTTAAAAGGTCATGTTTTGAAGTCATCATGACTATGTCTGTAGAGCCTGTTGTGATAGAATTTCGTTTGTTACTGATTACATGTATTAAACAGCAACTAACGTAACTGTTTTGTGCTTATTACATAGTGTATCTATTTTACAAATACTTTGGGTGACTTAAATTATCCTGCTATGGACAAAACATTTTTTCAGGAAAAAAAAATCAAGAATACCAAAGAGATAATCCTCTCACTCTAATTCACTAAAACTTAGGTTTCTTGAAATGTTATATTAAAGATTTTTGATGGGTGCAGTCTTTGCTATTCATTTTTGGTATTGGTTTCTTGATCCATTACTCATGAATTTGTCCATTTCCTTTGTTTGTTTTTAATTTAATGGTGCTGTCATTACAACATCCTGTAGGGGGACATGGATGACACAATCCAGGATTATTATAAACCTGGGCATTCCACTTTGCTGTTCCTGAGTATGCAGAATAGCTTGGAAAAGATTAGTACAGTCAAAGATAATTCCAATACTCAGATATAATTTCTTGACACATTACTGGATTTCTCAGCACAACCATGTCCTGCTTACTTTTACATGTACTCGTTTCAGACCTCAGAAACCACCAATTTACTGGGTCTCTGAGGATCTGTTGACCTTCTGCTTTGGCTAACAAGCCATGCCGTGGAGTCTCAGGATACCCTTTCACAGGTAGCTTTATTCTGCACTTCACAAGAAGCGAATTTCAGCTTGGCCTTGGGCTAATGCTCGCTCCCTGTGGAATCACAGCCTGATTTTCATGCTGGTAGGACTTATTAAAAGTTGTAAAATTGGAGACTGCTCATTTGCCTACATTCTGTGGGTATCTGTGTGGATATACCAAGTGTTTCCTAGTAGGATGTCACTGCAGCTGAATTTTTTTTTTTTTTTTTTTTTGTGTGTGTGTGTGAACTGAGGCCTTTAGTTCACTCTAATGGAAATAATCCCTTCCAGGAACTACCTCCACAGTAGGAGTGCCAATTTTCAGAAATAATTTAGTGAGCTGTTAATACATTAGTATATTACAGGAGAAAAGGCCTTGAAGAGCAAAACTTTTGTGTCAACTTGCACTATGTAATTTTGAAAAGAAAAATGTTCACACTGAGTACAAATTGTTTTCTCAATGATACAAACTTGAATTTGCGTAACATATAGTAATAATCTGGGAAAAGGAGACGGACTTATCCCACCCTTCAAATAATACTTTTGTTCTTGCTGTAATCTAGAGCTCACTGTAAACTTTCAGATAAGCTACTTGATACAGGATTTTGTGGTACACACACAATCAAATAATTTACTCAAGCACAGTATTTCTTATATCAGCATTATTTGTTGTTATTTGTAAAGACCGTTTTTATAGGCTACAGTGTAGCTTGAGTTGGAAAGGACCTGCAACATTGAGCAACATGCTGAAGATTTGAAGTAAGAGTTGGATCTTCTCAAATCCTGTRGCTGGTTGATTTATCTAACCCAAAGCTAGGCTTATATTCTTAATTTTCCCAGAGGAGTGAGTTGCTGAACGGATTAGCTGCAGTGAGCCTGTGGATTTGTGATTTTCCTGGGAGATTGCTCTTGAGGGGAGCAAGCAAAAGAGAAAGCTGGGTGTCTACAGCTGCATCTCTCCTCCTGCCCTAGGAAACAGTGCTGCTTTAAGGCTCAGAGGGCAGCAAATGAGAGCAAGTTCTTCTCTCCTCAGTTCTGTAAGGTGAACAGGTGAGAGAGGGAAGGAAAGTGAGATGTCTCCGAGACAGATTTCAGGTGCCCCATTACACTGCTGTGGCTCCAGGAGGCTATTTTGCTTCAAAATTTCAGCTAGGACTCTTCATGGATTTTGTTTAAAAAAAGGGATATGAACCAAACCTAGTTTGGTTTACTTATGTACCTAAATAGTGTTGTAAGAGCTATTTGATTCTAATAAGTATTTCCATCCTATCTCTTCCTGAGTATTGTCTCTTCTGCCATCAGTATTTCGTTTTTCATGAGAACAGTCATGTCCAGAATCTAGTTTTTCCCATGGTTGCACCTTATCTTTTTTTTTTTTTTTCCTGCCACTTAAGTATCAAGAGAAAGATCTGGAATAACTGACCAAATATTTTCACAGTAATAAGTTAAATCTGTTAAGAAAAGATGTCATACTTTATCTTTTTTTCTTTTTCTTTTTTTCTTTTTCTTTTTCTTTTTCTTTTTCTTTTTCTTTTTCTTTTTCTTTTTCTTTTTCTTTTTCTTTTTCTTTTTCTTTTTCTTTTTCTTTTT